AAAAATGCATAGAAAGTCATCTTTGTAGTTCATATCTATTCATTCATTCATTCATTCTTGTTTCCTAAAACAATGAAGCTCTGTCTACATTATCAAATGTTCTTTAGCAAAAGAAAACTAATGTATGCCCATATACTGTATAGTCATGATATTCCTATATATGGTCATGTGATGTCATGCTGACCATATTTAGGCATGTCACATGATGGAAATGTGTACCTCTAACCTGCACTTTCTCTTGGCTCCTACAACTACGATAGCAATAAATTTCTGCAGCAATGTACAAACGGAGAATGTGAGAGAGTTTAGGAAGTAGATAAAAGCAAATGTCTTGGAAGCTGGACTTCAGTGAATATAGGATGTACAGTAGTTGTATCGGGCAGATCCAGAGATGTCCATATGGGGGAGGGAGAAATTGAGAAACAGCACTACTGGGGGAGGGGGGTGGGGAATTTTTGTTTTCTAGATGCCTAGCAATAACCTCTGAGGCGTTTTGTCAGATCAATAATTTCTTTTTCTTTCTTTCTTTCCCTGACCCCAAACCTGCCCCTGAGTATAATTAATCGCAGTACAGTGCACCCTCCATTTGAAGACCCCTCTAATTTTAGACCACTTTTTAAAAGAACCAAATGACAATCTTCAATATTCTAAAACAACGCTAACCCTCTAATTGGGAAGACCGAGACCACCCCAAATTTCAGGTCCCAATTGTGGTCTCGGATTGGAAAGCGAACTGTAATTTAGTTATGTTATTTTTCGATAGAATTATATTTTGCCTTGCTTTGCAATTTAGGATATGGGTAACTAAGCTAGTCTACCATCCCAAGTGTTTGTTCTTCGAAACTTGGGGGAAGATTTATGCAAATGAGGTTTCTCACCTGCTTGTAGTTGAAAATGAATATTGTAATGTGCTTACATTTGTAATTTCCTGTTTGTGAACATGTAAATTGAATAGTTCACCTGGGGAAATATTTATGCAAATGAAGTATTTTTATGTGCTTACATTTGCAGTTGCTAGTTTGTGAATGTTTTTAATGGATAGTGTGATGCTACCATGTTAATTTCGCAGTCTTTTAGGAAGTTTGAGAAAGCCATTAAGCTTAAGGAAGGGGTTAAGTTTGATGAAGGGGTTTTGTTATTAATGTCATTCAATATTTTTAAGCTAATATAATTGTTTTGTGTTGTTAATCAGTATAATACAGATTGTCTTAGTGGTTTGTGTTAACGAGACCAAGTGTTAATGTCCTTTGTAACGATAGAGCCCCCACTATTGTTATTACTATTATTAATACTACTATTATTACCATCATCGTTATGAAATATTATATTATGTTTTTGTTTGTTGTAATTCAAGAGGTTAAGCTTGGGAAATTAAAGAAAGGCTACTTTTTTTTTTATGGCATTTACAATCAATTCTTAATAGGGGTCATTGTTATTAATGTCATTATTCAAAACTATTTTTAAGCTAATATAATTGCTTTGTATTGATCGGTATGATTGTCTTAGTGGTTTGTGCTAACAAAACCAGTGTTAATGTCCTTTGTAATGAAATAGGCCTCATTATTATTATTACTATTATTAATGCTACTATTATTACCATCATCATTATCAAATATTATATCATGTTTTTGTTTGTTTGGTTTTTTTTTTTTGGTTCAGTAAACTTCACATTTTTCTTTCCATCATTTGCCAACATATTAATTGTCCTTTTTAGAATGTGTGGCTTAGATTTAAAATTTTATTGAAGTATTTGGTCATGCAATCTTTGAAATGAGAATTGTGTAAGTTGTGTTGGTTTAGTAATGTTTGTGGATAGGCATAGAAATACCATTATCAGCACATCATCAGTGACTTAATAAGGCCAAATAAAAAAAAAATTATTGTGTTGGCCACTCCCGACTGACCCAAAATGTACGAAATTGAGTTTCGGCATTTTATTTATTTGTTTATTCATTTAAAAAAAAATTTTTTTTGACAAATGAAAAATATTTTATTAATGAGCTAAAAAGGCTGGAATAGGCCTATCTTGCTAGACGGTAGGCGATGCGACAGTGTTGTGCGATCGTTTTGCTTTTCAATGTAGATTTAAAAATGTTATTTGTTGTTTTTTTTGTGTATTTTCTACTTTTTTGGCATAAACACATTATTGGTTTAAAAAAAAAAAAAACTTTTCTTACCTACCTACCCATTTCTTGGATTTTCCCAAAACGTGGCCAACACAAGAATTTTTTTTTGTTGGCCTAATACAGGCTCGCAATCTATAATGATTCTACAATAAATGTAATATTGTAACATTTTAAATTTCTCTCTAATGAAATTGTTTAATGAAGTGCGAACCACATATGTAATATTCGCATGTGTGTAAAGTGTATAATTGTATAGTAATGTTCTGTAGTCGTGTAATGTTAGATAAAGCTCACTTGGGCCTAAAATGCCCTACACACATGGTGACGCAATTCTATGTAGAATGCAATGGGTTAAAGCGTGCGCAACAGGTTTTTAATGAAAATGCTGTCAGTCTGCCATTAAAAAAAAATTCACAGACCGGTTCACGTAGTCATGCGCTCACAGATACCGGCGATGGATTCACCGGCCGACAGGAGTATTACCGTCATACAATCCAGTGTGTGCCCAACTTTAGTGGGGCTTACTAGAATACCTGGTACCACTTAAAAATACTGCTGGGTTCATTATTTGGCATATATTTTATCAACTATGTTTATGTTTCTTGAGATTTTATTACTTATTAAATCCCAATTTTTGAATATATACTTTTTATTACAATATTGGTATTGTTTTAAGATGTGTGAATCCGATTATAGTGGTGATCAATAATAGTATCTCGTTTGTTAATATACACAATCTCAGCCCATGCAACTACTGCATCTGTTAGACTAG